AGTGATCTTAATAGTATTTTTTTCATATTAATGTAATTTTTCATCTAATTGAATACAATCTATTTGTGTATGATTGTCAGTCCAAAGAGGGAGAGAGGAAAGAGGGAACGTGAGGAGAAAGTACAAGGTCAGGAAGAACCAGGTAAGAAAACAGACAGGGAACAGTGACAGGCACAACAGAAACTGTTAAACTGACAAAGAGAAAAAACCTGATTTTACTCACACAATCTGGAAGTTGTGTCCTCCCTATATTAAAGCTGCTATACAGAATCTGCAAAACAAACTGGGTTGAAACATTTTTGACCCTCTTTAACAACATTCCAACATAACATTATAATTGATTGGGGAGATTAAAATTAATGATATATTTTATGTGGTTCAGCCTAGGGCTGCACGATTAATCGTTAGAAAATCGCGATCTCGATTCATACTTATGTGCGATCTCATTTCCAAATGACAACGATTTAAAAAAAAAAAAAAAAAAAAAAACGACGACGATTGTACCGCATTTTGATCCGGGACGTACTCTGCATGAAAACAAGCGCTCACTCTTCCTGCTCAACAAATGACAAGGGCGGAGCCTTATACCACGTGATACAGAAGCTGTGCCGTGTGATGCTAAAATTAGCAGGGAAAAAACAACGGAGAGCACGTCAGGGATGACGAGAAAGTGACAGGAGAAAATCCGTCCCGGTCAACCACCCAAACACAATAACGGGAACCTTATACAGCGCTTCCCTATACCCGTCGAACTCGCAGAAAAGAAATTACGGAGGCTATCACTTATCACCTGACCAAAGATATGGCTCCCATCAACACTGTGCAAAACGAGGGATTTAGGAAAATGATCAACACCCTAGACAAACGCTACACAGTGCCGTCCCGCAACTATTTTTCTATTGTTGCACTACCTGCTCTATACACGCAGTGTCGAGCAACGGTGGAGACGGAATTTCAAGCAGTACAACATTTTGCGGCAACAACAAAACTGTGAGACATTTGTTGTTTTTATGTTTATTTATTGTTTTTATGTTCAGTCTCAACTGTTACGAAGTTGATGTGCAGTTAATAAGTGCAATAAATATTTATACTGGAAAAGAAAATCGTGAGAGAATCGTGATCTCAATTCTAAGCCAAAAAATCGTGATTCTCATTTTATGCAAAAGTGTGCAGCCCTAGTTCAGCCACAACTCTACTAAAACCTCAGCCAGTAATAGGTAGGCCAACTTTTGCCAATTATGCCAGAGATTTTATACCTGCAAACCGAGATTACATTACAACGCCTGGAACAGCCAAGGCATGGCCTCATCTCGAATGCATTGCAAGTGAGATCGTTCCACTTCAAAGCTGTGATGTTGGTCTGCTGATTGGGTACAACTGCCCCCAAGCATTTTTTCCTCGTGAGGTTGTGTCTGGAAAGGAAAATCAGCCGTTCGCACAAAGAATTGATCTGGGATGGAGTATTGTAGGTTATGGCAATCCATGTCTCAATTATGGAGATGCCTTCGGAGTAAGTCACCAAGTCATTGTGAAGTAAGTAGTGCCTGACATTCAGCCCTCTTCAAACCTCACCAACAAGGTTCACTATGTCTACAGAACTCAAATAAAGGAAATGACCTCTCCCACAGAGGTCCAAAAGATGTTGGAGTCTGACTTTGTTGAGAAAGCACCAGAAGATACAAAGGTCTCTCAAGAAGATCTCAAATTTCTAACAAAGATGAAGACTGGCATTAGTCAAGGCATGTGCTATTCATCATCTCAAATGTTTAGAAAAAAAGCTCAAGAGGAACAAGCAGAACTACATGGACTATAAGAAATTCATGGATGAGATCCTAGCCCATGGAGATGCCGAAAAGGTCCCAGAGCAACACATTGACAAAACACCAGTTTGGTACATCCCACACCATGGCGTGTATCATCCACAAAAACCCGGAAAGATTTGTGTCGTCTTCGATGCCTCTGCCAAGTTCCAAATGACCATCTCCTGACTGGTCCAGAGCTAACAAACACCTTGCTCGGAGTCTTGTGTCACTTCCGAAGAGGTCCAGTGGCTTTCATGTGTGATATCGAATGCATGTTCCTCCAATTCCATGTGCATGCTTGCGACCAAGATTACCTATGGTTTTTGTGGTGGGAGAACGGTGACCTTGAAACTCCATTCACTGTCTATAGGATGAAGGTACACCTATTTGGAGCAGCATCTTCTCCAGGTTGCACCAACTACAGCCTCAAGCATCTTGCAGCTGAAGGAGAAGGAAGTTTTGATGAAGAAACCATTAAGTTCATCAAAACCAACTTCTATGTTGACGATGGACTAGCAAGTGTTGACACTGAAGATCAGGCAATACAGCTTGTTAATGAAGCACGGAAACTCTGCAGCATGTCAAACTTCGGTTGCACAAGTTAATCTCAAACCGCACCCAAGTTCTAGCTTCACTTCTGAAGGAAGAATGTGCTGCAGCTGCCAAGGATCTAGACATGGCACTCGGTGAAGTACATATGGAAAGAGCACTTGGCGTACAATGGTGTGTCGCATCAGATCAATTTCAGTAGAGAGTAGTTGTTAAGGAAAAACCACTCACCTGAAGAGGAGTATTGGCCACAGTCGCCTCTGTGTTCGATCCACTTGGGTTTGTGTCACCTTTCATTCTGCTGTGAAAGCAGATTTTGCAACAAATGTGTCCAGAAAAACTCAGCTGGGATGAGACCTTACCTGACGGTCTTCAACCTCAGTGGGAGTCTTGGTTGCGTGACCTGGGAAACCTTGCAGACGTAAAGGTTCGCAGATGCTACATTCCTTCGAACTTCAAGGCACAGCACTACAAACTTCAAGCAGTAAGCACATCTGGTGAAGTTCAGTGCTCATTGGTGATGGGAAGATCGAGAGTTCCAACAACCAAAGTCACAACTATACCTTGGCTTGAGTTGTCAGTGGCCATTGTTGCTGTGTGCACTGGTGACATGCTGAAAAAGGAATTGGAAATGAAAATTTCAGAAGAAAGGTATTTGACTGACTCAAAGGTGGTACTTGGATACCTCAGCAATGAAGCCAGAAGATTTCATGTGTTTGTTGCAAACCGAGTGGAACGCATCAAACAAAGTACAGATTCAACCCAATGGAGTAACTTCCGAAGATAATCCGGCGGACCACGCCCCAAGAGGCATCACAGCAGAACAACTTGTAACATCAAACTGGTTCAAAGGCCCAGACCTCCTTTGGCAGAAAGTCATACCCAGTTGTGAAATTACGGTGGGAGAGTTATCAACCAGTGACGCAGAGGTTAAGAAGGTTCAAGTTCACAAGATACAAGTGGAGGAACAAGGGTCTCTGTTAGATCACCTACACAAGTTTACCGACTGGTGGAGAATGATTAAGGCAGTTGCTAGACTCAAGCGCTATGTGAAAGAAGCAAAAGTTCATTAAAGTAGATCACACGACATCAGTAACCTACAAGAAAGAAAGGAAGCAGCGTTAACAATCATAAAGATGGTTCAAGAAACAGCCTTTGCTCAGGAAATAAAAACCTTGCAACATCACGATGTGATGCAGTTCAAAGACAAGGTTAACAAATTACACAAGTTATGACCAAGACATTCTTGGGGCAGGCGGACGTTTAACACATGCAGCTTTGCATCCCAATGTCAAGCATCCTGCAATCCTGCCAAGAGACAGTCACGTGTCAGCATTACTGGTCAAACATTACCACGAGAAGACATACCATCAAGGACAAGGCATCACCATGAACGAACTTCGAGCTAACGGATTCTGGATTCTTGGATGCAGCAAGATTGTGTCATCTTACATCTATAAATGTGTAAAATGCAGAAGGTTCAGAAGGCACACAGAGCAGCAGAAGATGGTAGACCTCCCAGAGGATCGGATGGAGACAACACCGCCATTCACCTACTGCGGGATGGACTGCTTCGGTCCTTTTTATGTAAAAGAAGGCTACAAGGAGCTAAAGCGTTATGGCTTGCTAATCACTTGCATGTGCTCCAGAGCAGTGCATCTTGAAATGCTTGATGACCTCTCTACGGATTCCCTCATCAAGTCCTTACGTCCGTTCATAGCCATTAGATTAAGCCATAGGTACAGATAAGATGCGATCAAGGCACGAATTTTGTCAGCACTAGAAATGAGTATATTTAAGCTTTTAAGGAGATGGATCAAGCCAAGATAGGGAAACTGGACTGCGAGTTTCTCATGAACACCCCAGCATCTTATCACATGGGTGGTGTCTGGGAAAGACAAATTCGCACCATAAGAAGTGTTCTCATTCTGGAACAATCAGCTAGACAACTCTTCCTTAGAGCTCCTCTCTAAGGACATTCCTGTATGAAGTCATGGCAGTGATTAATAGCAGACCATTGACTACTGACCAGCTATGTGATCCATCAAACCCAGAACCTTTAACACCGAACCACATACTAACCATGAAGTCCACAATCATCTCCCCACCTCCAGGACGGTTTGTGAAGGAAGATCTTTATCTCCGTAAGAGGTGGCGTTGTGTTCAACTACTCGCCAACACTTTCTGGACAAGGTGGAAAAAAGAGTATTTGTTAAATCTTCAAGGCAGACAGAAGTGGACCAAAGAGCACAGAAATGCTAAGATCAATGATCGTCTGAAGGATGAGATAACTCCACGCAACCAGTGGAAGTTGGCAAGGATCATTGAAGTGTACCCTGGAAAGGATGGAAGAGTGACCAAGGTGAAATTGCTGCTGAGTGATCCAACCCTGGATAAAGAATGAAAACGTACCTCCAAACCTGTTCACCTGGAAAGACCCATTTAGAAGACAGTCATTTTGATGGAAGGGGAAGAAGATTCTCCACCGCACTCTGCTTAAATATAATTCATAATAGTTCATTTAAAAGTCATTCATTAGTTCATAGGCAATACTTTATTCTTTAAATCACAAGTGATTGGTGGGAGTGTAACGGTCTTTTGCATTTTATGTTTTGTTGAGCTTTATGTCCAGATTTTGCTCTTTTGCACCCTCTGGTGGTGAAGTATCGAGGGTTCAGTTGTTTGCAGTTTGGGTCTCCACCCAGCCACTTTATGCTAGCGCACATGGCGTCTGCATGCTGCAGCTCGTGGTCAGCTCCACACATGGAGAAAATATTGTTCAAAGAGAAGAAATAAGTGAGAAAGAAGGCCATAAAGGACTATTTAGGCCCTCCTGGATGTCAGCTCAGGAGGTTTGTGTATTTTAAATGTTTTATTTTCTGTAATTACGGACATTTAATTAATTCATTATGTCAGTCCTGGCGTTCCATACTTAGGTCTGCAGATAAGTTCCTTTTGACAGAGGTGAACAAGCTTTTGTGATCACTGCACCCAAACTCTGGAACAGTCTGCCCCTTCACTTAGGTCTTCCCAACACTCAGCATTTTTAAAACCCAGTTGAAAACACAATTGTACTCTCTAGCTTTCAATTATGACTAGTCTTTTATAGTAATTACTATGTATGTATACTATGTTATCTCTACTATGTACATCAATTTGGCTCAACCCATGTTGTTTTTCAATGTGCTTAAAAATACATTTTGATTCGATTTTTTTTTAATTTTATTTGATTTTGGCTACACGCCTTGACACACACACACAAAGTTACCTTTCTGTTCAGATTGCATTATGATTATAATTCAGTTAACTCAACAGCTGTTGTGCCTTTCTCCTGATGCTCCAGGTGGAACTGTTTGAAAAGGACATAACGAACATAAAGACAGAACTGAACCATGTCTCTGCTGCTGACAAATCTCCCATCAGCCTCTACGAGTACTTCCACATTTCCCCCATTAAGGTGTGTGCGAATGCAGTTTCTGTCAAACAAATAGTGTCTGAACTGATCTCTGCGATTTCTCCGTTGCCATAGTAACGCCTGCTGATGTTTTTGTGCTTTTTGTCAGCTGCACCTGAGTTTCTCTCTGAGCACAGGCGGAGAGGATGGCTTGAAGCAGAAGAGAGATTCGGAACTGATCCCTGTGCAGTCGCTAAATCTGTTGCTAAAGAGTATCGGCGCGACGCTCACTGATGTGCAGGATGTTGTCTTCAAGTATGAATACAGAAAAAGGCTTAAATACACAGCATGCATGTGCCATCCATTAGCATTAAATTACTTCCATGTGACTTGTTCTTGGTGATTCCAACCCTGCTTCTTGGCTGAATGTGACATTTATTTCAGGCTGGCCTTTTTTGAATTGACCTACCAGTTCTACACCACTCAGCAGCTCCAGTGGGAGGTCCTCAGACATTATTCTAAGCAGGTAATACATACAAGCACAATGAAACCAGACAAGTGGCAATTTGTCTTGTCTTCTTTTGTTTTGATATTTTGATTTTCCACCTATGTGTATCTCAAGGCTATTAAGCAGATGTATGTGCTGGTGCTGGGTCTCGATGTTCTTGGAAACCCATTTGGACTGATCAGAGGATTGTCAGAAGGGGTGGAGGCTTTCTTTTATGAGCCCTATCAGGTAATGATATCCAATAAAATTATTGACAAGTTCAACTGGGTCTTTTAGCTTTGAAGTGCGTTATAAAACCTGTTGAATAGTTACGTTGTGTAATTTAGAAAATATGGCCACATTGGATTCAGGTTAACATTCACAATAACTGTTCTTTTTTTTTTCTTCTAGGGAGCCATCCAGGGCCCTGAGGAGTTTGTTGAAGGAATGGCTCTTGGGGTTAAGGCGCTGGTGGGAGGAGCTGTAGGTAAGCATGAAATGGTGTTAAAGGGGTAGTACAGAGTCAGCCTTAGCTCAACAGGATCAGGTCAAAACTGCTAAATAATCACTGGAATTTCTAATTCAAAAATTAATTATGTTTAATTTATCTTTTATTCTAAATTTAAGTACAGTGTTGTGCAAAAGTCTTGCACTCATTTCTTTGTATTTTGAAATACAGTATGTACAGCAAAAACAGTTTTTACAATTCTTTATCACATCCTGAACTCTCTTACTCAGCTTCCTTGTCTTCAGGAATAGTTCTCCAGGCTTCTTGAAGGACATTCAAAGCTCTTCCTTAGATGCTGGTTGTCTTTTGTTCTGTTTTCTGTAAAGATGATCCCACACTGCTTCACTTACGTTGAGGTCCAGCCTAAGTGGAGGCATGCCTTTTAGACCTGCCACTTCTTTCTTTGTCCCTCCCAACTGTCCAGTTTCCTTCACTTGTTTTCAGCTATTTTGTGTCTGTCAAACTGTGTTATCATCGCCATGTTTCATAGATTGAGCAAATCATTTGCTTTTTGTGAGAGGCTGCTGGTAACAAACTGGTTAAAAATAAAATTTAATTGAAAGTGTCCATTATGTGTAGAAACAACACTGTTTAATCCCTTTAGCCTGGTGTCATTATATGCTTGACATCAGTGTTAAGAAGCTTATCAGATGTTAAAAATAATCCTGTGAAAATAATCTGAAACTAGATTGAAAATGAGTTAAAAAGCAGTAAATGTCCAACAAAAAACTTAATAAAGCTCGGAGAATTATCGCTCATCACCACATGAAAAAAATAACTAAAAAGAAATGAAGGTCATTAAAGAGTTTGTACAGCCCTGCACGCTGTCCTCACTTTATCTGCTGTCATTATACACGTTGATTGACTGGGATGGGTTCATGGCTGCTATATAGGGCTGTAATTTGAAAAGTGTAATAACTGAGCATTTGTCGTTTTACTGCATGTGTTTTTAATATAGTGTTATATCTGTTAAATTTCAGCATTATATTGCCTTTAACAGTGAACTGTGGCTGTTTCATTACACATCTGAGACTTTTTAGCACCATGTTGGAGCCCTTAAAATTTCAGATTTTCACTGACACAATTTTGACATGAACATTTAAGATATATTAAAAAATATTCTCAGGTAACGAATCATGTTTGTTGTTCAGGCGGTATTGCAGGTGCAGCCTCCAGGATAACAGGTGCCATGGCAAAGGGTGTCGCAGCGATGACAATGGATGAAGAGTACCAGCAGAAGAGACGAGAAGCTATGAACAAACAGCCCAGCGGTCTGAGAGAGGGGCTGACCAGGGGTGGAAAAGGACTGGTGTCTGTATGTAAAACTGTTTGGTTTTTTTGGTTTTTAAGTTGCTCCTCTCTGTTTATCAGCAGGAAACACGCAGTTAATGCAGGATGTAGGAAGTAGTAAGACTAGCAACAACAACACTGCAAACTAGTCTGAAAGAAAATGCACGGCTGTAATGAGTCATTTATTCTGCAGTGTTATCTTCCTTTTCCCACAGGGATTTGTCAGTGGGATCACAGGGATCGTTACCAAACCTATTAAAGGTAAGACGAGTCTGACCACAAGTATAAACATGTTAGTCCAATAAAATAAGGGCATAAAAAAACTACGTGTTCTGTTAGTGTGTTTCCATTGAACACTTGACATTTGGCCGTGAAGATCTTTGAACTTAAGCTGCAGTGTTTGTGTTATTATGCAGGGGCCCAGAAAGAGGGGGCAGCGGGCTTTTTTAAAGGTGTTGGAAAAGGTTTGGTTGGTGCAGTAGCTCGACCAACAGGAGGCATTATTGACATGGCCAGCAGCACTTTCCAAGGGATCAAGAGGTACAGTTATTTCTGTCTGTGCTATGTGATTGTGCACTTGCCGCATCAGTGTGTAATCAGATAGGTCCTGTTTGAATTTGTTTATGCCCTGAGTTGTCCTTTGTTTTCATTCATTTGTTTTAATCTTCTGATGTACTTCTTGTACTTGACTATCTATTAACAGCGTTACATTCAAATTAAATTGTAACTAATGTAAAGATTTGACTTCATACCTCTCACATGCAGTACCTTCATTTCCCACCAGGGGGCTGCAGCCCACAGCTTAACACAGACTGTATAAAACTTGGATGTAGCAGCCCTGGTGTCAGCTGTTGCTTTGTGGAGCCCTGTTTTGAATCCCGGAGATGAGCATTTCCACTGCTGCTGTCTTTGTTTAAAAGTGATTTTTTTCTTTAGTATTATTATTATTATTATTATTATTATTATTATTACTTCTGCACTGAACCTCGCCTTCCACTGCAGGAGAGAGTGAAGTCAGTCTTTCATGCCAAAGAGTTTGGGAAGATAATAAACTTCAAAAAAGAGATCTGTGAGTAGCAGTCCTCACAGAGGTCAGAGGAGAATGACCAGACACGATGATATAGTAACTAATGTTAATTAACTACTCATTTCAACCAAGGTATGCAGAATGAGCATCTTCTGAAGCAGATGGTCTACAGCAGCAGAAGACCACACATGGTTCACCTTGTCAGCCAAAAACACCAAACCAAAACTGAAATTCTAAGTCTTGATACTTAAAGATTAAAAATGTGTTTAAAAAAACAACAACAATCAGTTATTTTATTTTGAACAAATTATGGATTTTTAATGCAGAACAAATTTGGTGACTTTCTTGTGGGCTTGTATCAAGGAGGGAGGGGCGGAGCTTAGACTAATGATTGCCAATGTGGACCAAAATTCCTGCTGAATGTTTTCAGCTCCCTTTTAAATCTCAGCCATGAAGAATTAAACTAATTCTGATGGTAAAGGAGGTTCAACCTGGTACCAGCACAGTGTACCTAATATAGTGTCAGTTGAGTATTTTTAGTCTATTTCAACACTTCCATAAAAATGAGTACCGTGCAGCGATTGTATGATGAAGGACTTAATTAGATCAGCTAAGTAATTACAAATCTTGTGGTGGAATAAGAGCTGAAATC